GGGGCTGTTAACCAATGTCATAAAACAATATGTGTACTGACTGTTTAATGAGAAACTATTTGTTCTGTAAACCTTCACCTAAAGTACAATTAAAAAAAAACAAAGAAGTCTTGAAAAGCAAAGATGTCACTTACAAGACTAAGGTGTGCCTGACCCAAGCCATGATATTTTAAATTGCCTCGTATGGATGCAAAAGCAGAACAATGAATAAGGAAGACCAAAGAAGAATTGATGTCTTTGAATCACAGTGTTGGCAAAGAACACTGAATATATACCATGGACTGCCAGAAGAACGAACAAATCTGTCTTGGAAGAAGTACAGCCAAGTGCTCCCTGGAAGCGACGATGGCGAGACTTCATTTGACATACTTTGGACATGTTATCAGGAGGGACCAGTCCCTGGAGAAGGACATCATGCTTGGTAAGGTGGAGGGCCAGCAAAAAAGCAGAAGACCCTCAACGAGATGGATTCACACAGTGGCTGCAACAATGGGCTCAAGCATAACAATTGTGAGGATGGCGCAGGACCAGGCAGTGTTTCATTCTGTTGTGCATAGGGTCGCTATGAATCAAAACCAACTTGACCACACTTAACAACAACAATAACCTTATGCCTGTTACATCATTGTACTTTGGAAGCAGATAACTTGTATTCTAGATTCCATCCCCAGGATGGAATACGCCTAAAGTCTCGCCCATGTTTGATTAGATGATTCAGAAGACGAGATTCTGAACTTGGAGTTGATTAAGACCTTTGGAATGGTGTGATAGGGTAAACATGTTTTGTTTGCGGGAAGGACATGAATTTGGTGGGGGGGGCAAAGGGTAGAATGTTATGGATTGAAATGTGGTGTTTCTGTTATAGCAGCACTTGATAACTAAGACAGGCAGTAAGTGGCAGCTCTGTGACACAGAAACAGGTTAGGCTGACAGCAGAGGTCATGCTCTCTCCACTCTGTTCTGTTGCCTCCATGTCAAGAAAGCTGAAGAGGGGATCCCTACACAGACAGGACATATGTCTCTCAGGCCTGTCCAAGATTCTATGAACCTTGGTCTTTCTTTCAATTTCTTAAAGTGGCTGAGACAGGATGGTGAGAACTATATAGATTAGATAAGCATGCCAGATAACAAGACAGAGACAACAGCTATGTATTTTTAGAAGCATATATTTTAAATAAATATTTTTAGAATATGCCAATTAAAAGAAAATTCAAATGACTGAAACAAACGAAAAGACTTCCAACATCACTCATTTTAAGAAAATGTAAATTAAATCCTTTGAGATTGGCAAAAACCAAAAAGTTTGGCAACACCTGTGTTGTCAGGATGTAGGAAAATGATACTCTGATTCATTACCAGTAGGAATGAAACTGGCTTAGCCTCCGTATAAAATTATTTAGCAATCTCTATCAAAATCTTAAATGCACATAAACTGTTATCCAGCAATTATACTTCAAGGACTTTGTTCTGAAAACATACTTGCACTTGTTGGAAATTACATGAGTTCCAGGATAACCACTACATTATTACATGGCCCAGCTATGTAACAGAATACTCTGGAGCTATTAAAGAGAATGAAGCAGCTCTATAGGTATTAAAAGGATTGAACCCCAGGATACATTATGAAATTAAAAAAATAGAAAGTTCTAAAGAGTATGTACAATATACTACCATTCCTATTTTTAAAAAATACATACATTTATATTTGTATATACAAAGAATAGTATCTCAGAGGATACAGAAGCGTTATCTGTAAAGGATACAATGGTTATCAGTAAAGAGGGGAAGGAGATGGTTGGGGGACAGGAGTAAGAGGGAAACTTACTTTTCACTGGATACCCTTTTGTGCCTTCTGACTTTTATAGCATGTGCTGTACTAATATTCAAAAGTAGGTAAACCGAGCTTATTCATACTTATCTTCATGAAGGTCTCTGAGCAACCAAGTGACTTGGAAAATAAAATAAACCTAATAACATTTTGTTTTGCACTGGGTCAAGTTCAAACACTTTTTGTAGCTAACAGTCTCTAATGAAGATAGCAGTCATTCATCTAAGCTGAACTGGCAAATCTACAGATGGCTGTTCTCTCCCTATTACCCATGGAGAGCTGACTAGGTCCAGAAACAGTTCTACATGCTCAAACACAGAGGCAGGATCCCACCCGCTCAGGGCCTGGGGCCAGGATGCAGAGGCCATATTTGGCTGGCTGAGTGTCCTAGGTCAGGAATCACTTACCCGGTCATACGTGTCTCCCTCCAGTTCTCCCCACTTCCTGCCATCCCATGAGGTAACTCGAACTCGAGTCCCATCCCTGATATCTTGAGGCACATAGCTGTGAAGAACCTTCTGTAGTCTGCTTGTTCGGGAAGTGGAGAGATCATTGGCAGCGAGATTGCCTGTGGGAATAAGGAAACTTAAGGGGTCATGGCCCAACCAAACAGTACACCAACAATAGCACTGAATGAGAGTCAGACCAATCCCTAGGCAAAGCCAATCAATGCCAACCCCAGGGGTAGGGTGGAGGGGAGACATTTATTATGTGCATGGTACAGTACCAGCCACTCTAGTACAGGGGTTGCAAAGGCAAACACCTACAAGGGCCAGGTGAGAATATTTATTTCTAAAGAAATATGCTCTCTCCCACTTTTCTTGAAACATGTGACTCTCTTCATCTTTGGTAGACATCTTTGGTTATTTACCTAAAATTTATTCTCCCCTCATTCCTGATTTTATTGGGAGGGGGCATATTGCCAATGTGGCAGGGGGCACAAAAAACTATTATTTCCCACCCTCCTTTTACAGCTGGTATGACTATATGATTAAGTTCTGATCAATGAGTTGTATTCTGCAGGATTTCTGGGAAGATGTTTAAAAAGAGCTAACACAACTGGGAGATGTGCCTCTTTTGCCCAATCCTTTCCTCCAGCCTAGAATATGAATGTGATGGCTGGAGTTCCAGGAGCCATCTTGGACTATGAGGCAATTCTGAGGATGGCAGCCAGCAATAAAATGAGTTGCAAAAAGACAAGTCCCTGAGCCTCTATACCAACCTGAGACTGCCTATATCCCAGCTTCTCTTATGCAAGAGAGAAATACACTTTTTTTAATTTAAGCCACTGTTTTTTGGCTTTTCTATTATATGCAACTAAACCTAATCCTAACTTATTCGCCATCTATCTTTCACTTTCCCTTTTCTGACAGACATGAGTTCAAGAAATACTTCACTTTGTTCTTAGCTCTACAACAAGAAAAGCATTACTGCAAACTTGATGATAAATGACGACTGACACCTGGCCTCAGAGTCAAGGAGTGATAGGCAGGGATGGGAACTGTGGTGAAGAATTAGGGAGCACATACCTAATTTAACAGAAGTCGTCACTGCTGAGATCCAGCTTAGGGTTGCCACAAAGAAATACAGATTAAATTTTGAGGGCGCTTAAAGAAGTGGTATTTATAGCAGCATATGGACTAAAAACAGAAAAGCTGGGTTGGGTTCCAGTTCTTGTACTACCTCCAACTCATGTAAGACTTAAGTTACTTAACCTCTCCAAAGCTCAGTTTCCCCCCTCCATAAAATATGAGGGTTAGATTAGGTAAACTCCAAGTTCCCTTCCTACGCTGATATTCTGTAAGTCTGTCTTTCTGAAATCAAGGAATCACTTGGCTGAGGAGCTGGGATGAGGACAGGTTGGTATTAATTCAACACTCCTTAGAAGTGCAACTCTAAATTACTTCTCCTTTGCCCTTCTCCCTCTTCTTAGTTTAAGTTTCTCCTTTTCCAAGTAACCGTACCCTCATTCATATCCCTTCTGATGGATTCCCACAGCAATGTCAGGTCAACATAGCCCAGCACACAGGCTGGGCTCCTTGCATTAGACTCATTAAGCCATGTTAACATCTTTTCTCCTCTCCCTCTGGAATTCCAGAGGGCTGAGACCAAGTGTGGCCCCTCTCTGAATCACCTATGGGGCCTACTATGAGGCTGGAGGCTAACTCAAACTGTGTAAACTGGATGACTAAACTGGAGAAGAAAGACCAACAGAAAGGCTCAGGCACATGGCACGAGAAATCTGGCTGAGTTCCTAGGTGGGTGTGAAAACCACAGCCCCCTTGTGGATATTTCTCAGGTTCTCAGAGAAAGAAGACTTCCTGTTTTAAGGCAGGATGTTGGCCACTGGATGACTGAAGTGAGCATTCACAGTACACACAGCCCATGCTGGGCTACACTACGGAGATGAATAAGACTTGGGCCTGTCCCCAAAGAATTCACAATCTCCAAAAGGGAGGTGATACATTCCCAGTAAAGCTCTGACACAAGGCTAACGTGCTAAGAGCTACAAGAATGATGCCCATGACATGGAAGCACAGGAGATGGAGGCATCACTTCTGAAGTAGCCAGCAGAGGTCATGAGGAAGGACTTCCAGAAGATGGCGAACTTGAGCTGAGGCTTGAAAGCTAAAAGGATTTGGACAGGAGAGCTGGGGTGAGGTTGCAGGCATTCTAGAGGTGGAAGTCTAAAGAGCAAACACAATAGGAGCAAAGGTGGAGGCTTATTCAGGCAACACAGAGTAGTAGGGTGTGGTGAAAGCAAACAAATCCTGGCAAAGGGTGACAAATAAAGCTATTAAGGGTGGCTGCAGCCAGATCTTTTCATTTTAGCTGGCACTAAACTAAGGAAATAGAACTTACTTTTGGAGACAAAGCAAGCAAAGGTAAAGGAGTGAAGGTATCATGAGATTAATCAGGGCCCTGCTTTCATCTGCCTTCAGAGACCTTGCCCAACAATCTTTCCTGTTCAACTGGCAGAGAAAGGGAAGGGGTAGTTACAAGCTGAGAAAAAATACACCAGCTTAGCAATCAAGCACTGTCCCACTCTCTGATCTTGGGACCAGAGAACTCATTCAGTGTGCCCCTGACTAGGTGAGGTGGGGAGTCCTCCCTGCCCAAGACACAAGCACCCCGACTTACAGCAACAGCCAGTCTGAAGCAGCGCTAATGTCTTTCCCCCGGGGGCTGCACACAGGTCAAGCACAGTGTCCCCGGGCTGCAGGCCAAGGGCTAGGACAGGCAGCAAGGAGGCAGCATCCATCAGGTAGTAGTCCAGGACACCCAGGCTGCCAAGCCTGGAAGAGAGAGCACCTTAATGTCGAATTTCAGGTCAGAACACCCACTGGGCATCAAAACCACTGTATCCATGCCCTCAAGGGCTACTAAACTTTACTCAGCAAAAGCTCTTGTTTCTCAATCCACACTCACTTATTCACTCACTCACTCATTCATCCACACAACAGCCGATGTTTTAAAATATTGATCAATTTTAAAAAAAAGTTTTAAAACACTGATTAATTTACCCCAATCCTGCCCAACTAGCCTCCCTATTATGCCTCAGTTAAGTCATGCATGTTCTTGTCTTAGGTTTTTGCAGTTGATATACCTTCTGCCTACAATACTCTTCCCCATATATCTGTGACTTGCTCCCTCACTTCTTTCAGGTCTCTCCTCAAAAGTTATCTCATTAGAAAGGCTCTGGCCCTCAAAAGTTATCTTGTTAGAAAGGCTCTGGCATTCCCTGACTATCTAAAATAGCAGCCCCCTACTCCCATCACTTTCTATCCCTCTACCCTGTACTATTTTTCTTTAAGGCACTTATTATTCACTTTATATATATAGATGTACAAATGTATATATGTATACATTTTTTTCCATCTCCTCCTATTAGAACGTTAGCTCCATGACAGCAGGGATTTTGCCTGTTTGCTCATTGTAATATCCCCCAACACCTGAAACAGTGCCTGGCACAAAGTTGAAACTCAGTTTTATTGGGTAACATATTGAGATACAAAGTGCTTCACAGTTTAGAGACAAGTTGTCAGCAATTGTGTTTGTCAGAGTTACCTGAGTTGGAACCTGATAAAGGAATAGGCCTTCACGAGATAAACAAGGAAGAGGAAGATTCCAAGGAGAAAAAAAAGAATGAGCAAAGGCAAAGAAGCATGCAAATTCATAGCTTCTTTAAGGAACAGTGAGTAATCAGGTGTTGTAGAAATACAAGCTGCAGGAGCCAGCACGGTACTATAGATAGAAACACTACACCGTCCCTCCACAGCAAAGACCCGAAAAACTAAGTAAAACAGAGACAAACATCAATCCTGGAACCCTAAGCATCAAATGAAAAGATAAGGAACTCAACCAAGCACCAAATGGAATATGAAACTGACAGAGAACAGAGAGCGAGGAGAGTTACAAGACAAGGTCCTCTATCAGCTAACGCAGCACAGATCCACCATCTTGGACTCCTGATGGAGATCGGCGAACATAGAGTACGGGAAAGCAGATTCACAGAATCCCAGCAGGAGACAGAGCACCCGCTAACCAGAGAAACACGCTTTCTCACCCCTCACCCTGCCTCCTCCTGCTCGACCTTCTGCTTACCAGCGACCCAATTCACTGCTTCTTGGCAGGCCAATTCCCAGCTTCCCAGAGGGCCGATTTGATGCTTCCTGGCAGGCCAATCCACCGCTTCCCAGCAGGCCACAATCACAGCACAGGAGGCACTGGTTCCGTGCCACATGGATTCGCCCCACCCACACTGGCTGGCTTCTTCAGTGCCATTTCTTTATTGCTGGGACTCCTTTTCTCGGCCTCTTTTGGTTTCTTCCTCCCCTTCTCACCTCTCACCTCCTCCCCTTCCTTTCTCTCGAACGCCGGACTCCATGTGCCATCTTTGCTTCTTCTTGACAGGCTGTGAACTGCTCCTCAGCTGGGGAACTGCTTCCCCAGTTGGCTTCCTCAGTTTGCGCAGCCACTCTGGTGGGATCCCTGGGGTTTTTTTTTTTATCTTTTTCTTTTTTTGTTTGTTTCCTCTTTCTTTTTTCCTTTTTATTTTTCTTCATTTCTCAGTTTCTCATCACTTTCTACTTACCTTCCTTTCCTGTCTTCTAAATACCTGGTGCTGTGTATCATCTCCACCCTTTCTAGCTGGGCTATACTGCGCAGCTTGGGAGCTGCTGCCCTGGTCTGCGCAGCCACGCTGGTGGGAACCCTGTGGGCATTTTTGCTTTGATTTTTAAATTTTTGAAAATTTATTATTTACTTATTCCTTTTTAATTTTGTTAATTTCTCAGTTTCTTGAATTTTCACTCCAACAGCAAGCTCTTTCAGCACTTTTTTTTTTTTGCTCCTGTTTCTCTCTCCTCTCTTCTCTTCCATACTCAACCTAGCTCCACACATCGCAACCTCCCCCCTCCCTCCCTTCTGCCTATCTACACCGTGTGCCGAACATTGCACTCCTGAGCAGCACAGGCACAATCTACTGGAACCTGCCCTGCACTGACCACCGGCTCATATTATTGGCCCAAGTATGTGCCACAAACAACCCATCCCAGCCCCTCACCTTCTACTAGACCTACCTTGCTGCACCACAGCTGAGTGACTGGTCCAGCCAATTGGACAAGGAAGTGAAAATTACCATGTCCACAGACGAGCAAACAACAAAGAACACACAGCCCACCTACTCAGACATAACCTAATAAAATAAAAAGTAGGACAAAACAAACAAATCTACAATCAATAAACAAAGAAATTAACTACTGAATGTCCCAAAGACAGCAGACAATATCAAAACATATAAAAAAACAGGACAGGATGATTCCAGTAGGCATCCAAGATAAAACAACACATGACTTTCCAGAAGATGAAAAAGAACTAGAAATACCTGATAGGGAATTCAAATCTCTAATATTTAGAATTATCCAAGAGTTGAAGCAAAAAGCAGACAAAAATGAGGAAAAAATAGACAAATTCATGGAAAAGGCAGACAAATTCATGGAAAATACAGACCAAAAAAATGGAAGAAGTCAGGAAAATAATACAAAACAAAATGCCAAAATAAATTCACAACTAGAAATCATACAAAAACAACAATTAGAAATCCAAAAGATAAACAATAAGATGTCAGAAATGGACAGTGTCATAGAAGGACTGAGGAACAGGTTTGAAATAATGGAAGACAGGATTAGCGGAATTGAGGACAAACACTTGGATACAACTTTGAAGAAAAATCCGAAAAAAGAACGAAGAAAAATGAAGAAACCCTGAGAATTATGTGGGATACAAACAAAAGCAAAAATTTGCAAGTGATCAGAGTTCCAGAACAGGGAGAGAAAACAGAAACCACCGAGAGGATCATTGAAGAACTACTGACAGAAAACATCCCTAGTATCATGAAAGTTGAAAAGCTAACCATCCAAGAAGCTCAACGAACCCCATATAGGATAGACCCCAAAAGAAAATCACCAAGGCATATCATAATCACACTCGCTAAAACCAAAGACAAAGAATCCTGAGAACAGCTCGTGAAAAACAAAAACTCACATACACAGGGAAACAATAAGACTAAGCTCTGATTACTCAGCAGAAACCATGCAGGAAAGAAGGCAATGAGATGACTATATAAAACCTTGAAAGAAAAAAATTGCCAACCAAGAATAATCTCTCCTGCAAAACTCTTGTTCAAATATGATGGGAAATTAGCACATTTCCAGATAAATAGAAATTAAGGGAATATGTAAAAATGAAACCAAACTTATAACAATTATTAAAGGGAGTCCTTCAGTTTGAGAACAAACAACATCAGATGACAGCCTGAATACAGAACACGAGATCACAATAGCCAGATACCAACCTAGGCAATGAACTCTCAAGGACTATTGAAAACCAAGATTTACAACAGGGAACCAGAGAGGTTAATCTTCAAATGACAACAACGTTAGACAATAAAAGAGGGAAAAAATGGTGTAGATATTGAACTTTCTGATGGAAAAGAAGGCAAGGCGACATCAAGTAATAATAGACTAGTTCAAACTTAGGAAGATAAGGGTAAATTTCCAGGGAAGCACAAAGGAAGTTAATAAACCTACTCATCAACATACGAAGAAAAACAGAAAGTCTCAGTAAAAACAAAATCTACAAAAACAAAAGAACAAAAAAATCCACAAAACAAAAGGAATTCAGCACAGGAGAATAAGAGGAACAAAGGAATCGTCAGCACCACAAAAAAAAATCACTACAAAATGACAACAATAAAACTTACATCTATCAATAATTACACTGAACATAAACGGCCTAATGCACCCATAAAGAGAGAGAGTGACAGAATGGATTAAAAAAACAGGATCCATCAATATGCTGTCTACAAGAGACACACCTTAGAAATTTATTAAAAATCAAAGGATGGAAAAAAAATACATCAAGCAAACAACTACTAAAAAGGAGCAGGAGTGGCAATACTAATCTCAGATAAAATAGACTTTAAAACAAAATCCACCATAAAAGACAAAGGGCACTATATCATAATTAAAGGGATGATCCAGCATGAAAACATAACCATAATACATATGTATGCACCCAATGACAGGGCTCCAAAATACATAAAACAAACTTTAACAGCACTGAAAAGAGAAATTGACAGTTCCACTATAATAGCAGGAGACTTCAACACACCACTCTCGGTAAAGGACAGAACATCTAGAAATAAACTCAACAAAGATACAGAAGATCTAAAGGCCACAATCAGTCAGCTTGAACTCATAGACATATATAGAACACTCCACCCAACAGCGGCAAAGTACACATTCTTTTCCAACACACATGGAACGTTCTCCAGAATAGATCACATATTAGGCCACAAAGGAACACTCAAAAAAATCCAAAACACTGAGATAATACAAAGTATCTTCTCTGATCACAACACCATCAAAGTAGAAATTAACAACAGGAAGAGTAAGGAAAAAAAATCAATTACATGGAAACTAAATAACACC